AATGAGATATAAATTTACCTCAAAGATATATATAAAAATAATGATTCTGAATAGACACTTAGTTCCAAGTTCCCAAGATTTTTTATGTCCCACACAGAATTATTTCATACTCAAGAATGTGGGAGGAGCCTTACAGTTTATACCATACACAAAGAAAAAATAATTTGGCATATAATTAAAATATACATACTAAAATATCTATTAACTAAAAATTTAAAGAAAAAGGAAAAGAAGAAATGTAAAAAGAAGAGACCTAATCCAAGAAACACCAAAGGTCTATATCTACATTTATCGCACTGGGTTGGAGAGTTTTTAGCGTATTGATCCAATATGTTGTGCTAACTTTTTAATTATGTTTCCACTAGAGTTGAGCGGACACCTGGATGTTCGGGTTTGCCGAGTTCGGCGAACTTCGGCAAAAAGTTTGAGTTCGGGACTCCAACTTGACCCGAACTTGACCCCGAACCCTATTGAAGTCAATGGGGACCCGAACTTTTGGGCACTAAAATGGCTCTAAAAAAGTCCTGGAAAGGGCCATAGGGCTGCAAAAGGATGTAAAATGGGGGTAAGAGTAGGACAAGTGCCCTGCAAACAAATGTGGATAGGTATATAACTTAAAATAACATAAAATACAAAACAATTAAAAATAATCTTGAACTAGGAGGAGGAGGTGTCAGGATTACTGTTTGATCCAGCACGAATGACAAATAAGTAACGTATTACCGGTCCTTAGAATGGCCGGATTTAACGTACAAAGAATAGTCAAAAATACTAGCCGAGGTCAGGGAACACAGAAAGGGACACAGCGATGCTTTGGGAATTGGGAGCCCAGTCTCCATTCCCCAGCGGCAGAGTGTCCTACCGGGAATAGAGAGCCCAGTCTCCTTTCCCCAGCAGCAGGACTCTGTATTGGGAGCAGAGACAGTCGGTCTCCCTTCCCCACAGCTGGAAGTATGTATGGGAGAGGAGCTTGTTACCCCCTCTCCCCAGTGGCAGCTTAATGTACAAAGGGGAGACAGTAAGCCCCACAACCGTGCAGATGGGACCGTAGTCTCTACACTGCCAGCACAGGGGGTAGGGACGGTCGGTCCTGCCCCCCAGCGACAGGGCTGTCTAGCCAAAGGGGAGACAGTCGGTCTCCCCCTCCAGCAGCAGAGATGGGTAACCAAAGGGGAGACGGTCGGTCTCCAGCAGCAGGACTGTGCATCTAAAGGGGAGACAGTCAGTCTCCAGCAGCAGGACTGTGCATCTAAAGGGGAGACAGTCAGTCTCCAGCAGCAGCAGCAGAGCGGTGTATTTAAAGGGGAGACAGTCGGTCTCCCCCTCCAACAACCAGGCTTCCACCAGGCTACCCTCCCGGTAGCGCTGGCAACAGGGCAGAGTGCCGCTGGTCTCTGCCCACGCAGCAACCCACCAAGGCAGCGTACCCGTACCCAGCACAGCCGTGGTGAGGCACCTGGACATGGACAAGCTTCTCCTTTACCCAGGTGTAGTAACCATTTATTGTGGGTGGGCTGTGCTGTTGATTATTTGTTGTGGGTGGGCTGCTGGACTAACAAGACCACTGACCGGCAGGAGGTCAGATACCCTGTTAGTCTGTTTGGAAAAGGGGAGAGATGTGACGAGACCAATCTCGCCACATTGCATTGGAGAAGCCTGGTTGCTCGCCTGCTGCCTTTGGACTATGGCCCCCTTTTAAAAGACTTTATTTTTCCATGCAGAAAAGCCATATTCATGCTTTTCTGCCTGTTGTTCAGTAGTTTCAATCTACCGAACAACCGTACGAATGACTGGACCACCTGGGAGCTGGAGTGTGCCGGCAATTAACCTCCCTGAAGTTGCGGTTAACCGCAGCTTAATTGATGAACGCTGGGTGGCCGCCGTTCGTATCCCGAACACGAGGTCGCGGCCATTTTAAACCATACGAATGAACAGCGGTGTTCGCCTCTATTTTTATGGAACTAAAATCGGACACAGTTTTGCGCGAACACCGCTGAAGCCGCCGACCTCCCTTCTTGTTCGGTGAAAACACACGAATGACCCGGTGTTCGGTATTTTTGTGTGAATTTCTTATACCCCAGATAGGAATCCCATGGAGCCCATTCGTATGAAACTGACTGTAAAGACTTTGGCTCCATGGCGATTGAACTGTATTCGTGTAGTCTGAGTGCCATTCACCTAATAATGTGCACTCAGACCTGAGCTATCTGGGGATGTGTTACATGTCTGTGTTTTACGTAGTAAATGTTACTTTGTGCATTTTAAAGTATTATGCTGGTTTTGTGTTCCCACGTGTGTAATGTTTTGCCTTTGTCTTGGGAGATAATTGAGTTACTTCCCAATTATCTCCCAGGGCAGAGGGGAGGAAGCCAGGATGCATTGTGGGAATATACTGTGACTGTGTGTCCTTTTTGTATACTTGTCTGTCCCTTGTCACAGTCTCCCTTTTGGTCCCCTAGGGGAGTGTCCACCAGGTGGGAGACCTGCATAAAAGCTGGGCAGGTAGCCCTCATTAAACAGACCACTGCTTGACCCTCCACACGGAGCCTTGTCTCGTCTTTGGGGGGATTTACTGTATGCTGCTAAGGACTGATTGCCAGGAGTGTAAGCCGCTTGGAAGCTTTTCCTGTTCGCCTGCTAGCAGCTATTCGTATGGTTCCTGTTAGTTTATTTGAAGTGCTACCTTATTCCCTTGTATGCCGTTCGGGAGTTTGGAGCATTCACTTATTGGCGGTTCGTGAGTTTTGGTGATTATACAGTAGCTGTGCCTGACTCTGAAAGGGGGATTATCGTCTAAGCGTTTTTTTCCCCTTTTGTGCAAAACGGTCCGTTACATCTAAGCTTCACCCAGTTGTCAGAGGCCCACCCGAACTCCAGGTGCTCCAAAGCTCCCAAGCCTCAACAGCTGTTGTCGTCATAGGGAAGACACTGCGGTAGCAGTTTTCGTAGATGTGTTGGGTGTCTCTCTCTTTACATAGTTCCGGCCTTGAGGATTTCCACAATCTCGCTATTGCCCTATGGGCTGTCAGAAACATATGAAAGACCAATTTCTGTATCTCTTTAAGTGTATCTGTAGGTATGTGTAACAGGAGGTACGTTAATGGTGTGAAGGGTAACCGTGTGAGTGTGGTTTCCTGTATCAGATGGTGAACTGCTTTCCAGAAGCTGGTGATGAGATTGCAGTACCACCAAATGTGAAGTACCGTGCCCACATGTGACCCACATCTCCAGCAAACTGGGGACGAATCTGGGTATATTTTGTGGATGCATGTGGGCACCATGTACCACCTATATAGTGTCTTCCTATGTTATTCTAATAGCGTTGCTGATTTAATCAGTCGTCTAGGCGACAATATAATAGTTTCCCATTGTTCCTGGTGTATTGGACACTGTAAATCATGGCATAGGCATGCACAGTCTATTGCATTAGGGTGTGCACCCTAAAGCACAAACACACGCCGCGTGTATATGTATGTTTGTATGTATGTATATATATATATATAAATTTCACATATATATACACACATACATACATACATACACTGCTGTGTGTGTGTGTCCTGTTAGTGTGCTGTGTGTATGTGTGTGCGTGTAAAGGTGCTGTGTGTGAGGGTTCTGTTAGTGTGATGTGAGGTGCTGGTAGTGTGCTATGTGGGTGAGGCTGTTTGTGTGTGTGTGTGTGTGTGTTTGTGAGGGTGCTGTTAGTGTGTGAGGGTGCTGTTTGTGTGCTGTGTCTGAGGGTGCTGGTAGTGTGCTGTGTGTGTGTGAGGGTGCTGTTTGTGTGCTGTGTCTGAGGGTGCTGGTAGTGTGCTGTGTGTGTGTGAGGGTGCTGTTTGTGTGCTGTGTGTGAGTGTCGTGTGTTTGTGATGGTGCTGTTAGTGTGCTGTGTGTGGGAGGGTGCTGTATGTGTGAGGGTGCTGTGTGTGTGCTGTATGTTTGGAGGGATTATGGGGGTGGAGGTGGGGGCAGATTAGTAAATATCTTCTTATCTTATGTAGGAAGGGGGGATCCTTGCTGCCATGTGCCATCCCTGGTGGTCCAGTGGAGAACACTCAGATCTCACGACAACACTCAGATATCGCGAGAGGAACCCGGCGGAGCTGCTGGCTAGAGGTCCCCGGGTCCTCTCCTGCCTCCCTCCATGCTGCTGTGGGCTGGTGAGGTAGATCTTTGATCTCCCCAGCGGCCCCTGGAGGCTTAAAGCAGAGCCGGTGCCCGGATAGTGCCGGCTCTGCATGAGCCGACAGGGGAGATCCTGAGATCTCCCCGGCCGGTCTCAATCCGTGCGCATGCCTACTAGTCATGGGCCTATTGTTCAGCCAGTTTATAATCCGCAAAATGTATAGAGGACCGGAGAAGCTGTTAGTACCAGGAGAGCGGCTTACATTTTGGTAATAGTGAGCCCCTAATAGCCATCTGTTCCCAGCTCGTCATACCTAGGAGGAGGTCTAGGTATTTGAGCATGAATGAGCGTAGTTGTACATGGCCATCGGTATGTGGTATTCCTCTTGCAGGGTTTGAAAAGCTTTTAGTTTATTTTGTGTAAGCAATTGAGATAGATGAGTAACCCCTGACTACCCATGGTTTGGCACTGAAAGTTGGTATGCAGTATGTGATAGTTTTAAGTGGGGTAGCCAGTGATAAAGGGGTAGGGCTTTCTTGTCCCAGACTCGCACCGCAAGTTTGATTTGCTCTGGCAATAGCGGGACAAGTGGCCGCTATGGAAAACATTTGGGGAGCCACATGATGGTGGGTAAGTCAAAGGGACCTATGGCCTGCTTTTCAGCGCTGAGAAAGTGGGGCAGGACCGATGGCAATACTGCTGCCTGGTAATAGGCTTTAATATCTGGCAGGGCGAGGCCCCCTTGTCTCGTTTGTGCCTGTAGCAAGTTCCCCGGTACCCAAGCTTTGCTGAATTACCCCAAGAACCTCCTGCAATGTGATTAGTTGAAGCAAGGCGTCCGCATAGTCCTGTCCTATTTGAGGGAGATCTATTCTTTTTAGGTAGATTCGAATGGAGTGGGGACTGTGACCCCTTCTCTTATATTCAGACTATAGAGTTGTTTACAAAAATGGGCAAATTCTTGGACTATATCAGTGGTGTTCATGATCTTGCCGACATCTTTACCCACCAGGTCGGTGATTCTAGTTGCTGTGTGTTGTGTTCTAAGTCTGTTAGCGAGATACTTGAACGGTTTTCCGCTGTTGTGATATGTGGTGGCCAGTAATCTCTGTAGGAAGTATTTTGTTTTCTGTGCATTAAGTGTGGTGAGGTCCTGGAACAGGTCACCTAGTTTGGAAGCTAGGGCTGGTGTGGGCACCTGTTTGTTTTGGACTGTGACCAATGCTATCTGTTTGTGACATTCTAGTAGAGTGGTTTGATAACGTTGTTTAATGAATGCTGATTGTCTGATAAATCGTCCCCTCATCACCAATTTGTGGGCAGACGACACCGTGAAGTCCGAAACTTCCCCAGAGGAGATTGTGAGAAAAAAATCTTGGAGGTCTAACTTCATTTATTCTACGAATGGTTTATCGTGAATGAGGGATTCGTTCAGTCTCCAGGTGCCTTTACCCCGAAGTGTAAATGTTACACGTGATTTCCCTAATTTTACAGTTAAACAGTTGTGCTAGGGTTGTGTAGTCTATATAGAACATGTCTATGCGGGTATAGGTATTGTGGCCCCTGAAGTAGAATGAGTAGTCCAGGTCTGTGAGATGTAATATTCTCCAGCTATCGTGTAGGTTGAATAGGGACATGGTGTGGGTTATTGATTTACAGAGGGCATGGGCTCCTTTTTTCCTCCTGCCCATCAGAGAGGCAGTAGTGTCAAGAGAGGGAGATGGAATGAAATTGAAGTCACCTCCCAGAATGAGTCCCCCCTGTTTGTATTGGTCTATCGTGTTCAAGAGGGATTTAAGGAAGGCAGCTTGGTTGTCGTTTGGAAAGTATGCAGCCCCCAGGGTTTAAGGTTGTGCCTTATAAAAATTGAAATATTCCGAAATAATAACAAAGATAAGATACCCAATAAAACATAACATTCAAATAAAAAAGTAAAAAATATAATAAAAGTCTTAGAAAGAACAGCCAAGCTTAATAAAATCAGACGTTCTTGGCGGTTTAGTTCTTGTAGTTCCAGAAGTACATGCAAGACATAAGAAGAGAGACTCCAATGGTACACTATATAATGAGGTATGTGTATAGTGCTGAATGGGTTTTATTCTACTCACATTTACCAGAGGTATATCCAGCTCTTATGTGTATAGCGTGAAGTGGAATGATCCCCACTCCTAGGATATGTGTGGTAGATAGTTTCTCCAAATATTTCCAATGTTAGCAATTCCGGACCGGGAAAGGAGAGAAATAGCAAATATAGTGCTCACTGTATCAAATAATTATAAAAATAAATTTCTGTAGAGGAGATGTACTCACATTTCTTTGAGCAAGCTCAGAGAAATGAATGACGTGGGTTACGACATATAAATGAGGGCGTGGCAATATCCGCATTCCCCTCCCATATGTCTAAAGACATGCGCAGACAATAAGCACACTTCACACATGCACACATGGTGCATCACGTGATGCGGAAGTTATACCGTGTACCACGTGACGCAGAAATAATACTGAATAATTTTGGAATATTCCAATTCTTATAATGCACAATGTAACGGCACCCCCAGGCATATAAGGGTTAAACTGCCGTTTAGTAGATCTTCCCTTACAGAGACATAGGCACAGCCACTGCAGAACACCAAACTCTCAAACTGAATACAAGGGAATGCTCCAAACTCCCGAACTGCATACAAGGGACTGCTCCAAACTCCCGAACTGCATACAAGGGAATGCTCCAAACTCCCGATCTGCATACAAGGGAATGCGTCAAACTCCCGAACTGCATACAAAGTAGCACTCCAAACTCCCGAACTGGAACCTCACAAATAGCTGCTAGCAGACTAACAGGAAAAGCACCCAAGCAGCTTACACTCCTGGCAATCAGTCTCTAACAGCATACAGTAAATCCCCCCAAAGACGAGACAGAGCTCCATATTGAGGGCTACCTGCCCAGTATTTATGCAGGTCTCCCAGCTGGTGTATACTCAAATGGGAGACTGTGACAAAGGACAGACATGAACCAATGACAGACACACAGAGGTAAAACATCCCCACAATGCATCCTAATTTCCCTCCCTCTGTCCTGGAGATAATTGGGAAGTAATCCAATTATCTCCCAGGACAGAGGCAAAACTCCATTAACCACATGGCAATAAAAGACAGTAAAAGACATAAAAATTTATAAATTTACAACTGTTGCACAAAACATAGACATTCTACCTATCCCCAGATAGCTTAGATCTGAGCACACATTATTACCGAATGGCGCTCAGATCACATACATACAGTTCAATCACCATGGAGCCAAAGTCTTTCCCATAGTCTTTTGTTACATGAATAGGCTCCATGGCAAGGCTATCTGGGGTAATGCTGTTCATACGGTTAAACTACCGAATGAACAGGCATCCGGTTAAATGACCAAATGCAGACGCAAGGAGGCTGACGGCTCAGCGGTGTTCGCGCAAATAAGTGTCCATTTTCATAGTTTGGGCGTTGAACATTGCTTGCTGTTCCGGACTTTAAAATGGCCGCCACCACGTGTTCGGCAAACGAACAAAGGCCACCCAGCATTCGTCAATTAAGCTGCGATTAACCGCAGCTTCTGGGAGGTAAATTGCCGACACACTCCCAATACAGGCGGTCCAGTTATTCGGTTGTTTGTTCGGTAGATTGAATCTACTGAACGCCGGGCAGAAAGGCACGAACAAGCCTTTTCTGCAGGGGAAAATAAGGCTTTTTAACATGGGGCCATAGTCCAAGGGCAACAGGCGAGCAACCAGGCTTCTCCAATGCTTCGTGGCGAGGTTGGTTTCGCCACACACAATCTTACTCATAAATACCCCTAGAAAGCATATGGGAAGCATAGGGGTTGAAGACAATACATGACTTGACAGCACCAAGACTCCCGACCGTAGCACAATCATTTCAGTTCTTCTAATTAAAACATTTCTTGAAGACACTCTGCCTCCCAGATAGCAGCAATAGAGACAGTACAGAATTTGAACAAATGTGCTCTAAAACCAATACACCGCCCAAGTGATTCAATCTGAAATGCACACAAAACGTCCACACTATACTCGCAAATGGAAACCCCAGATAGGGTATTTAAACAGTAAGAGAGAGTGTGCTGACACTTTTCGCATTATATTCCATGCACTCTCAAGTGTATCCCTGCATGAGGTTAATTAAAAGTTAGCTTCGGGTTGGTATCTCACACCATTTGATATCCACCACTTTGACCCATCATCTTCCCCCTTGTGTTGGAGGTGTGAAAAAGTAAAAGGTTACATGCTTCATATATGGTGGACTTGTGAACGAGTCCTGGACTTCTGGAAATTGGTAGGGAACACAATTAAAACCTTAACTGGCCAAGCCGTCCTGTTAGAAGCAGATGCTATGCTATTCTTTAGCGTTAATGTGCCCTTGAATAAGATGAAATACTCTTTTATATACAGGGGCGGACTGACCACTCGGGCACTTCGGTCATGGACCGAGGGCCCGAGGCAGTCAGGGGCCTGGCCGCACAGCCATGCTCCAGCTGGAGAGATCAGATCAGAGATCTCTCCAACTGGAACGAAAAACTAAATAAAATAAAACTATTTCATTGATAGGTTGTGGGGCCCCTGATGCAGCCGGGGCCCCACAACCTACCGCTCTTTAAATCCACCCCCTCCCTCCTCCCATGAGACCTGGCAGCTTCACCTCCTCTCCCTCTTTGCCAGGTCTCCTTCTCCCTGTCCGGCGCGGTGCTCTGTGTGATGGGAGAGGCGGGGACCGGAAGTGACATCACTTCCTGTTTACTCCTCTCACACAGAGCCCAGCGAGGGGAAGGAGCAGCAGCCTGGGAGAGAGCACAAGGAGCAGAGAGACAGGTAGGCACTAATCACCCCTCCCCCTCACTGTCACTAGTCACCTCCCCACTGTCACTAGGCACCCCCCCCACTGTCACTAATCACCCCCTCACTGTCACTAGTCACCTCCCCACTGTCACCAGTCACCCCTCACTGTCACTAGTCACCTCCCTCACTGTCACTAGTCACCTCCCTCACTGTCACTAATCACCCCCCCACTGTCACTAATCACCCCCCCCACTGTCACTAGTCACCCCCCCACTGTCACTAATCACCCCCCTCACTGTCACCAGTCATTCCTTCACTATGTCACCAGTCATCCCTTCCTTCCCTCACTCTGCCACTCGTCATCCCCTCACTCTGTCACCAGTCACCCCTTCCTTCCTTCACAGTGTCAGAGTTAGGGAGGGAGTGACTAGTGACAGAGAGAGGGATGGGGTGACTAGTGACAGAGTGAGGAAGGGGGTGACTAGGGACAGAGGGGGTGATTAGTGACAGAGTGAGGGAGGGGGTGACTAGTGACAGAGTGAGGGGGGGTGACTAGTGACAGAGTTAGGGAGGGAGTGACTAGTGACAGAGAGAGGGATGGGGTGACTAGTGACAGTCACCCCCTCCTCCCTCTGTCACTAGTCACTCCCTCCCTCTGTCACCAGTCATCCCCTCACTCTGTCACTAGTCACCTCTTCCCTCCCTCACTTTGCCACTAGTCATCTCTTCCCTCCCTCCCCCACTCTGCCACTAGTCACCCCATCCCTCTCTCTGTCACTGGTCACCCACTCACTCACTCTGTCACCAGTCACCCCCTCACTCTGTCACCAGTCACCCCCACTCACTGTGTCTCCCCCTCACTCTGCCACCACTCAACCCCTCCTTCCCCCACCTGTCACCTTCTCCCTCATACACTCTGTCACCTGTCACATATGCATTCACACAGACACTATATACAAAAAAGCACATGTAGTCATCCAGACATGCACAAGTGCATTCACACAGACTCAAATACAAACATGCATTGATACA